TATGTATTATGTATAATTATGTATTCTTATGTATAAAATGCTCTTATATGTATAATTATGTATTCTTATGTATAAAATATGCTATTATGTATAATTATGTATTCTTATGTATAAAATACGTATGTATTATGTATTCTTATGTATAAATTATGCTTATGTATAATTATGTATTCTTATGTATAAATTCTATTATGTATAATTATTATTCTTATGTATAAAATATGCTATTATGTATAATTATGTATTCTTATGTATAAAATATGCTATTATGTATAATTATGTATTCTTATGTATAAAATATATATTATGTATAATTATGTATTCTTATGTATAAATAATTATGTATAATTATGTATTCTTATGTATAAAATATGCTATTATGTATAATTATGTATTCTTATGTATAAAATATGCTATTATGTATAATTATGTATTCTTATGTATAAAATATGCTCTTATGTATAATTATGTATTCTTATGTATAAAATATGCTATTATGTATAATTATGTATTCTTATGTATAAAATTATGCTTTATGTATAATTATGTATTCTTATGTATAAAATATGCTATTATGTATAATTATGTATTCTTATGTATAAAATATGCTATTATGTATAATTATGTATTCTTATGTATAAATTATGCTATTATGTATAATTATGTATTCTTATGTATAAATTATGCTTTTATGTATAATTATGTATTCTTATGTATAAATTATGCTATTATGTATAATTATGTATTCTTATGTAAAATTCTTATGTATAATTATGTAATGTATAAATTATGCTTTATGTATAATTATGTATTCTTATGTATAAATTATGCTCGTATGTATAATTATGTATGTATATAAATTATGTATTTATGTATAAATATGTATTTTTATGTATAAATTATGCTCTTATGTATAATTATGTATTCTTATGTATAAATTATGCTTTTATGTATAATTATGTATTCTTATGTATAAAATATGCTATTATGTATAATTATGTATTCTTATGTATAAAATATGCTTTTATGTATAATTATGTATTCTTAATTATGTATAATTATGTATTCTTATGTATAAATTATGCTTATGTATTATGTATAAATTATGTATTCTTATGTATAAAATATGCTATAATTATGTATAATTATGTATTCTTATGTATATAAAATGTATTCTTATGTATAAAATTGCTCGTGTATAATTATGTATTCTTATGTATAAATTATGCTTTTATGTATAATTATGTATTCTTATGTATAAAATATGCTATTATGTAATAATTATGTAAAAATTCTTATGTATAAATGTATTCTTATGTATAAAATATGCTATTATGTATAATTATGTATTCTTATGTATAAATTATGTATTTTATGTATAATTATGTATTCTTATGTATATAAAATTCTTATGTATTATGTATAATTATAATTATGTAAAATTCTTATGTATAAAATTCTTATGTATAAATTATGCTTTTATGTATAATTATGTATTCTTATGTAAAATAAATTATTCTTTGTATGTATAATTATGTATTCTTATGTATAAAATATTCTTATTATGTATAATTATGTATTCTTATGTATAAAATATGCTCGTATGTATAATTATGTATTCTTATGTATAAAATATGCAATTATGTATAATTATGTATTCTTAATTATGTATTCTTATGTATAAAATTCTTATGCTATTATGTATAATTATGTATTCTTATGTATAAATTATGCTTTTTATGTATAATTATGTATTCTTATGTATAAATTATGCTTTTATGTATAATTATGTATTCTTATGTATAAATATGCTCTTATGTAAATTATGTATTCTTATGTATAAATTATACTGTATGTATAATTATGTATTCTTATGTATAAAATATGCTTATGTATAATTATGTATTAATGTATAAATTATGCTATTATATATAATTATGTATTCTTATGTAAAATTATGCTTTTATGTATAATTATGTATTCTTATGTATAAATTATGCTCTTATGTATAATTATGTAATTATGTATAAAATATTCTTATGTATAAATATATATTCTTATGTATAAATTTTATGTATAATTATGTATTCTTATGTATAAAATATATGTATGTTAATTATGTATAATTATGTATTTCTTATTTATGTATAATTATGTATTCTTATGTATAAATTATGCTCGTATGTATAATTATGTATTCTTATGTATAAATTATGCTATTATGTATAATTATGTATTCTTATGTATAAATTATGCTATTATGTATAATTATGTATTCTTATGTATGTATATGCTTTTATGTATAATATTCTTATGTATAAAATATGCTATTATGTATAATTATGTATTCTTATGTATAAATTATGCTATTATGTATAATTATGTATTCTTATGTATAAATTATGTGTATGTATAATTATGTATTCTTATGTATAAAATGTATATTTTTTAATTATGTATTCTTATGTATAAATTATGTATAAATTCTTATGTATAAAATATGCTCTTATGTATAATTATGTATTCTTATGTATAAATTATGCTCGTATGTATAATTATGTATTCTTATGTATAAAATATGCTATTATGTATAATTATGTATTCTTATGTATAAATTATCTTATGTATAATTATGTATTCTTATGTATGTATAATTATGTATAATTATTCTTATGTATAAATTATGCTGCGTATGTATAATTATGTATTCTTATGTATAAAATATGCTATTATGTATAATTATGTATTCTTATGTATAAATTATGCTATTATGTATAATTATGTATTCTTATGTATAAAATATCTTTTATGTATAATTATGTAATGTATAAATTATGCTATTATGTATAATTATGTATTCTTATGTATAAAATATGCTATTATGTATAATTATGTATTCTTATGTATTATGTATAATTAAATATAAATGCTTGTATGTATAATTATAAAATATTCTTATGTATAAATTATGTATAAATTATGCTCGTATGTATAATTATGTATTCTTATGTATAAATTATGTATAATTATGTATTCTTATGTATAAATTATGCTCATATGTATAATTATGTATTCTTATGTATAAAATATGCTATTATGTATAATTATGTATTCTTATGTATAAATTATATTATGTATATAATATATATGTATAATTATGTATTCTTATGTATCGTATGTATAATTATGTATTCTTATGTATAAAATATGCTATTATGTATAATTATGTATTCTTATGTATAAAATATGCTCGTATGTATAATTATGTATTCTTATGTATAAAATATGCTATTATGTATAATTATGTATTCTTATGTATAAAATTATGTTATGTATGTATAATTATGTATTCTTATGTATAAAATATGCTATTATGTATAATTATGTATATGTATGTATTCTTATGTATAAATGTATTCTTATGTATATATGCTGTATATGTATAATTATGTATTATGTATTCTTATGTATGTATAAAATATGCTATTATGTATAATTATGTGTATAAAATATATGTATAATTATGTATTCTTATGTATAAATTATGCTTTTATGTATAATTATGTATTCTTATGTATAAAATATGCTATTATGTATAATTATGTATTCTTATGTATAAAATATGCTTTTATGTATAATTATGTATTCTTATGTATAAATTATATGTATAATTATGTATTCTTATGTATAAAATATGCTATTATGTATAATTATGTATTCTTATGTATAAATTATGCTCGTATGTATAATTATGTATTCTTATGTATAAAATATGCTCGTATGTATAATTATGTATTCTTATGTATAAATTATGCTCGTATGTATAATTATGTATTCTTATGTATAAAATATGCTATTATGTATAATTATGTATTCTTATGTATAAATTATGCTCGTATGTATAATTATGTATTCTTATGTATAAAATATGCTTATGTATAAAATATATTATGTATAATTATGTATTCTTATGTATATATTATGCTATTATGCATGACTATGTAATATTTTTTTTAAATTATGCTCTTACTTTTATAATTATGCATAAATTATACTATTATGTATAATTATGTATTCTTATCTATAAATTATGCTTTTATGTATAATTATGAATTCTTATGTATTCTTATGTATAACATATGCTATTATGCATATTTCAACTGAAATTGATGCTTCAAGCGTAACACCTACTGAATACTGTTTGTAAATTTTTTCATACACACAAACAGCGCACGCATATATACGCACATATTGAGATACATGCATAGAAACACTCACTTTCGTTTTTTTTGGCAATATTTAACAAGGAATAGAAGTAGATTAATAAATAAATTTTGTTTAAAATACTGCTCGTTTCATAATGAAGCAAGGGACATACTCAATTATTAAACGCACCCAAGTAATATATATATATTGTTGTGATCAAGTAAATGGTTAAGTAATAACAAAAACTAGGTTTGCAGATATATCGTATATTAAATATGAAGTACACAAGAAGAGTATTAAACGACTAGTGGGAGTATATCGAATGAACTAGCGCTCAATCTATTCACTGTTCCCCGAAACTTCTTTCTGTCCTACTAATCTTATAGTAGGCGGAAGAGTCTAATATAGACGCTTTAGAGGGAAGACACCACAACACACACACACGCACACACACATATATATTCTGACGTCAACAAATACTCGTTGTCACTTTCGTAATTCTCATTGTATTAGAGACTGTGTATTCGTAGATAGAACTATAATAACGCCGTTGAACAATACTGGTGCCAGACGCCTTCGAATATCACTCGCACTCATAGTACTTGCTCGATAATACTCACTCGAATAGTAATCCGTACACTGATCTGAATAGAGAAATAGTATAGTGAATAGATTAGAGAACAGCGATTCGTATAGTAATAGAGGATAGACTAGAAATGCAGATGCGAATAGTAATAGAGGATAGAGAAGAAATAGCGATCAATTAGACACAGGCTACCTCCCATTTATGCGTTTCCTCTATGGTCACGTGGTCTACTTAATTTACTAATGGGATCACCTGTGTTTCCTCACCGGCGGTCTATGTTCAAACACAAGTGTCGGCAGCGACACTTTATTCCTATATATCAATATAATTACCGGGTATCACAGCAAAATTGTCCGAATTGTAGAATCGTTAGATTAAGTTGTAACTTAGAAATGATTAAAGATATCTTATTGGAATTCTCCAAGGTTTTTATAAAACTATTGAACTCTATTTTGGGCAATAAGAATGAATAATTACTCTCCAAGATGAACAGAAGAATCTTGATGAAATCAGTCATAAATGAAAATGATATGTTCATCATTAATTAATCATAGTTAAGGATCGGAAGCTAATGAAAAATTGAAATTAAGTTCATATATATATATATATATATATATATATATATATATATATATATATATATATATATATATATTATTATTCCAGTATCATTTTCCAAATTATTCACAATGTTCTTCGACCTCTCTAAACGTCTAACTTTCTGTCCTGGTATAACAAGGGGCCTCATAGATTTCACGTACGATTATATTTTCAAGTCTTTTTGTGAACTCCTCTCTCACGTGCCAGGCGCATTATGGCTTGAGTTGGATCTTTTCTAATTGATCTCTTTAGCTCTAAGTAGAAATGATGATCCCTCCTCCTGATATTCCCTCTTTTTTAAAACTTATTCAACGTTCTCTTGATAGTTCGTGAATGGATTTTGAAGATGGAAGCTAGATTATGAATGTTGGTACCATTAGAGAAGGCCTGAATGATTTTTCTACTCACCATTGCTCCGTTGAGAAAACAGTGAGGTTGACACAAAACGATTTTGATCTGCTCTCTTTCTCGCTTAATAACTCAAAAGGGTTTTTCAGTGATTCTTACGGCAAATAATATCAAGATGGCTAAACGACTTATCTGAAAATCGGGAAAAAAGAAACTCAATTTAATGTTTTTTTTTTTATTATTTAGATATTAAACATTTTGTGTGATGGCCAAATATGCTGTAGCACAACTTGGAGAATTTTGCTGTCACCTCACTATATATATATATATATATATATATATATATATATATATATATATATATATATATATATAACGGTGTAATATTGTTACATCTTTATATGCACACATTATTTATAACGTATGTACCTTGGTATAGAGATGAAAATATAGGCATACTTTTTGAAATTCAAGTCATCCCATACAAGTCAGTAAAACTCTGACATACAAGTGGTTACTGTATGTGAAAGAATTAGAAAACATGAACATTATTAAGGAGCGAGACTAATGGATTAATCTGGAAGATAGCAGATAACGTTTGAGATTGAATTTTAATTTTTGCAGATTAAAATCTGCTAGAAAGCATGGAGTTGGAACAGACTTCTACAAACGTGAAGTGTGTGAAATGAAACTATTAGCAAAGAACATACGGTTAAATCTAGCTAACACGATTGTAAATTGATGAAACCTTTCTGCCAATCTTCTACTACACTTCATAAAATCCGTGTAGCATAGTGAAGAGCACATCCGAACAATTACAATGAAAGAATTTATACAAATAGCACAGAGGGGCACTTTACGGTGGTGGGAAAAATGACTGAAGACGAGCTGCCAGGTCAGGACCAATAATTTTGCTGGTTATTCTTATCAATAATCTAAATATATAGCAGGATCACCGGACCATATGTACTAGCAGCATTCGTAGCATGGAGGAATGGTAGACTTATAGATATGTAAGATAGATTCTTCTAAATTGTTACCACCACACAGTGAACCAACTTTCCTAGCTTCACAACTAGCGATGGATTCAATGTCAGCAGGAAAATTTAGTTCTGTGAATGCCCAAACGATTCACTTCCCTGGAGGTTAGTATCAGCCATGTTTATGGAAGGCAGTACGGGGTCTCTCGGATCATTAATAGAAAGCGGTATTGTTTTGGAAGCGTTAAAAATTAACACGCGATTCTTTGACACAGTTAAGAACAGGCAGTGTGTTAGTTTTTAGATCAGCTGACAATTTGACCTTATCGAACTGATCATACTTATCATATATATATATATATATATATATATATATATATATATATATAGTGGGGGAAATAAATATTCGAACACATGGAAAATTGTATTTTTATAAATGTAAAAGCCTTAACTAAAATAAATTTTGAACATTTTATGTGTTTAAGATACATTTTATGAAAAGTAGTAATAAACTTAATTAATTCTTATTCTAACAGAAATTAATGCATTTTTTCATTTTAACTGATGAAAAAAGTATTCGTACAAAAAAACAAACAAACATTAACTTAATTTAATATTTTGTGGAATATCCTTTATTGAGTTCAACAGCTACCAGTCTATTCCTGTACGTCTCAACTAATGATTTTCACACATTGAGTGGTATTTTGTCCCATTCTTCTTGGCATATTGTCTTCAAATTCTTGATATTTGTTGGTGCTCTTTTCCCAATTTGAATTTTCAAATATCGCCATAAATTTTCGATTGGGTTCAAGTCTGGGGACTGACTTGGCCATTGCAAGACATCAACGTTACTTTCAGCTAACCATTTCCTTGTAGATCTAGCGGTATACCCAATCAGGAGGTAGCCGAAGTCTCTCAAAAGAACGCATTAAATTGTCTTGCAGGATTTTATGGTATCTTTCGGCATTCATCTTGCCATGTATTATTGATATTCTGCCAACACCTTTTGCAGAAAAACAGCCCCAGATCATGATACTGCCACGACCAAACTTTACAGTTGTCAACGTGTTCTGTGGTAAGTAGGTTTCACCGTCCTTCTTCCACATATGATTTCGATAATTATGACCAAACAACTCTATTTTAGCTTCATCTGTCCATTTTTCCCAAAACGAATATTTTTTATCCTTATGCTCTCTAACGAATTTTAGCCTAGCATCTCTGTGTCGTTTCAAGAGGAGTGGAGTCTTCCTTGGGATGCGTGATTTCAGATTGTTTTTGTGTAGTTCATTACTTATTCTACGCTTGGTTACTTGAATCCTTAATGCACACAAATGTTCCTGCAGCTCTTCTCAGGTAACCTGTGGATTTTGTTGGATCTGGCGTCTAAATATCCTTGATGATCATAGAGAAATCTTCCTCGGAGCACCTGTTCGTCTTTTGTTTTCGACGCTGTTACGAGTTTAAACCATGCAATGAATGAAGCATTTGTAGCATATGTATATATGTATGTATGTATGTATGTGTGTGTGTGTGTGTGTGTGCGTGTGTGTGTGCGCGTGTGTGTTTTTGTGTGTGTGTGTCCTCACAATTCTGCGTTTATTAACTTGGAAACAAGATTAAAGGTTAAAATTGATAAATATTGATGATTATTGTTTTGCAATATATATACATACACACACACGTGAAAATAAGTTAAAAATTATCAATCTATCGTTTTATCTCTTTTGTATATCGCAGTCAGTTCAAATCTATCTATCTATCTATCTATCTATCTATCTATCTATCTATCTATCTACATCTATCTATCTATCTATCTATCTATCTATCTATTTCAGTCCTGATAGTCTTTTTAATTCTATCTTTATCTATCTATGTTCATTTTCTATTTGTATAGTCTTTTAATTCTCTTTATCTGTCTATATTTTCGTATCACCTCTTCATCTTTCTCTATCTATCGCGGTCTCTTTCTATCTATCAGGTATGCGTTGAGTAGATACTAATTAAACGTTAATCAAATTTCTCTAATAATAACAAAAAAAGTATTTACGAAAAAGAATTAAATATTAATTAAATGATAACTAAAAGCTTGAAGGGTAAAGACGTTCGTGCGCCTTAAATATTAATTAAATATTAATTTGGTAATTAAATTGGAAAAGATGTAAATAAAAATTGCAGATGCATTTCATATCAGATACATGCAACAAATACATTCTCGAGAATAAAAAAGAAATATACGTAACTATCTCTCACTCTCTCTCTCTCTCTCTCTCTCTCTTTTTCATTTAAAGGATTTACATTCTCAAATCTTTCGCGTCTAAAGACATAAAAATACTTCATTTCCCCTGGGCATATGACGTATTGTCACGTCATCAATATTTGCCTAATGTTTCCGAATTGTTTCGATTTAAAAAATAAACATCATGCTGGTGTGGCACATTGACGAACTCAATTGAAATTCTGTTCTTAAGGCAAAGTTGTCAGGAAAATTGCTTACAACTCAAATAATTTTCGAAGAATCCGTCCAGACTAAATGATTCCAGTTTTCTGGGGGTCTACGAGCTTGGTCTTAATTTCAATTCTCCCTAAGCTTTTTTTTTTTTTCAGTTTCAGAATTGATGTTCCAAACGCATCCATGGCTAAATAATTTGTTCTGGTTTCATGTTCCATAGATTCTTCAGCTCGCTAACTGATTATTATTATTATTATTATTTTCTTTGATTTCTGGCGTTTACACATTTCTTTTCGGGTCCCGCCCAGGGATCTAAGGTTAGAAATGGCAGCATGACACTTTCCGCTGACAAAAAAAAAAAAAAAAATTACATAGATAATGCACTTCGTAAAGTGTGGGCTGTACTTGTCAGAACAATTTTTTTGTATCTCCTTGAGGCATGGACTTCCAGGAATCCCTTCAATTAGTCTACTGCAATCTTTTCCAACCAGTCCTAGGGCTCCAACTACAACAGGGATTGTTGATGTTCCCATATGCCATATTTTCGAGATTTCTATTTCAAGGTCCTTGTACTTTGACAGCTTTTTGAATATCTTCAAAGATACATTGCAGTCATCAGGGACTGCCATATCTTCAGCTCTCTAACTGATGATTATTTTTATTATTATTTGTATATGATATGTTTCTTGCTTTGTATCCTGTAGAGCCTGATCCAAACTATAGGCCGTATAGAAGAATTGTTATTTAATAGATAGCATTTTTCTTAATATATGGCATATTCCTAGTAGGGCCATCTTCTGGGCAACTTGTATGTTGATGACACCTTATGTTAGTAAATTTGTCCATTCCTTTTCTCGTGAGACCCAGAGTTAAGATTAATATTGGTACAGTCTCAGTCTTCATTCACCACATCCTGTTAATCTCGATCTCCAGGTCCTTGTATTTGGTCCTCGATCATTTTCATGGAGTTGTTTCTCTCAGATGGTACTGCTATGTCAATCAGCATACGCTTCCTGAATTTCTTGTCTTTTTATGATAGTATCAGGTCTGTTGGCTTTTATTTCCCTGTAAGTTCGAATTGGCATGTCCCAGAGGATAGTTACATCGTTATTTTGGGTAAGTGTGTATGGCTGGTGTTCATACCATCTCTCAGTGGTTTTGATTTTGTGCTTCTCTCATATCTTCCAATGCACATGTGTCCCTATATTGTTATGTATGTGAGTATATTCCTTTTTTGCTAGTTCCGGACATCCTGAAATAATATGGTCGACAGTTTCATCATATTTTCCACAGATCTCGCATTTCGGGTTAGTATTATTATCATTATTATTAGTTGAATCTCCTTGTATGTCTAAAAAGCAGTCTCCAAGATTCAACCTGTTATGGCCTTGTTAGGGCCAGAGTTAAAGACGCAAGGGAGGAAATGAGTTAAATATATTAACAGAAAACAGTAATACAACATATACAAACGAGAGTGTTACAGCAATAATGTTCGGCCCGCCTGTCAGAGCTGACTGCTGGAAACTTCACGGTGTTTACTCGTTCCCCTACCAAAACGAGATATGACATAAGTTCTTTTTAAAGTGGGGGCCCGAGCGCGTACGTCCGGGACAGGAACAAAAATTGCCCACAGCCCTTGCAACCATCGGTTACGCTGGCCTCTGAGCGAGCACCGATCGCTCCATCTGGTGCAATGAGAGGGCTCGGCCTCGGGCAGCTGTTCCTCAAGGCTGGGTACCTCTCAGTATTATTTTATCAGTTGCCTCTCTGTCCTTTGACAGAGAAGCACTTGAGTGCACTCTGTCCAAAGATAGAGACGCAACTGAACGATGATAAGCCATGCGTTAGAAATTCTCCCAAGGAGGAATTTTCACGCTGCTGGAAACTTCACTCCCCCCAAAATCAGTACCTGCTCTTTTTTTATAGCTGGGAGACTCTATGATTGCGTGGGTAAATTACCATAACACAACCTTAAAGCTTAACAGATCGCAAGTTAGCAATTCATGATTTTTGGTACCGTTGGTTGGATTTCTAGCCAAAATTTCACGCACCATTTTCTCAATTGTATGATGTTCTTGGAATGTGTTTGGTATATCTAAACTTTCATTGACATGCATATGCTTATGTACAGATAAAATGTCAGACGAGTCAAATTCAGTGAACTCAGAGAAGAACCTACAAGTTAAGAGAAATAAATCTTTCCAAACTGCACTGGGTTCAGTGAAGATATGAGACCGAGTAGGAAGTGTTTTCTCTCTATGTCCATTCTAGAAATACTTTCATAGTAATTGTTCGGATGAGCTCTTCATCATGATTAAGGATCAGTAAGAATGCGTGGTTTTGGAATTAGGAATATTGTGGTATGTTTAGGTCATTGTTTGTGGATAGCTAAGTTTAACGTTAAGACAGAAGAAAACCGCCCTTTTTCCCCATTCCCCATTTTGGCCTTGTGCCTCACTTTCTGTATTGAAGCAGAAATAAATATCGCTCTTCACCATGATTTGTATCCATATTGTAAATACTCATTGGGGCTAGTTTTTAGAATTGTTGTTTTATTCTCCTCCCCCACCGCAGACAATGAATTTTAAATATGGGGACTAGTTAGTATTTTCATAAGAGACAATGAGGTATTATGGTGGTTGTAGGAAGAAAGGTACGTATCAATGTGTTGTTTTGGTGTAAGGAATATTGTTCGTACGATTGGGTCAGTGTTTGCGGCTAGCCAAGTTATAGTTAAGACAGAACAAGACCGCCCTTTTCCCCAATCCCCTTTTCGGCCTTGTGCCACAATTCTGTAGAGAACAGAATAAATATCGCTCTTCATCATTTCAATTGTAAATATGGGGACTAGTTAGTATTTTCATAAGAGACAATGAGGTATTATGGTGGTTGTAGGAAGAAAGGTACGTATCAATGTGTTGTTTTGGTGTAAGGAACATTGTTCGTACGATTGGGTCAGTGTTTGTGGCTAGTTAAGTTATAGTTAAGACAGAAGAAGACCGTCCTTTCCCATGATTTGTATCCATATTGTAAATACTCATTGGGGCTAGTTTTTAAATTGTTGTTTTATTCACCTTCACAGACAATGAATTGTATATATGGAGTTTAGTTAGGAGTTTAATGGAAACAATGTGGTATTATTGTGGATGTAGTAAGAAAGGTAAGTAAGAATTCGTTGTTTTCGTGTAAGATATATTGTATGTTTGGGTCAGTGTTTGTAGCTTGCTAAGTTTAACATTAATACAGAAGAATACTGTCCATTTCCCCTATCCCCTATTTTGGCTTTGTGCAAGATTTTGTAAATAAATTACAAATAAATATCGCTCTTCACCGTGATAACCTGACGCTATGAATTTAAGCGCAGAATTAAACTGGCGTCAAGATTTCATCAATTTACACTTGAGTTGTAGCCGCAAGTTCTATGCTAACAGTTTCCTATTCTCGCTTGTGGAACTCCCTTCCAGCTCCATGCTTTCCAGCCAACTTTAATCTGCAAAAATTTTAAATATCAATCGCTACCTACTGTCCTTCTGATTACTCTCTTCCCTTTCTGCTCATCATTATTTTTTCGGTTCCCAATTCTTTTACACACTGCAATCCATTGTGTTTTAGTGGCATCACTGCCTTGCTTGGCGTGATACCGATTAAAAACCCTTCATGTGTAAGTCAATAAACTACATCCGCGTCCTGGGTAAGACGATAAACTACATCCGCGTCCTGGGTAAGACGATAAACTACGCCCAACAGCAAGGCCTCTGATCAGGAGGTTTTGAGGAGTGTGGAATCACCTCTTAATTGCTGGTATTCCCAGGTCCACCCTGACCCGAGGTGGTAACATCTGTTAGGGTTCCAGCTTTGGGTAAATAGTTAAGCCCCCAAAACTGGGGTGAACACACTACGAAAGTGTAAAAAATAGGTTTTAATATCAGAAATACTTTGTAGAAAATTTTTACCAGCAATAAATTTTTGAAGAAATATATTTTTGAAAAAGAAAATATTACCAGAAATACATTTTTGAAAAAAAAAATGCCAGCTATACATTTTAAAAAATACCAGCAATACATCTTTAAAAATATATTACCAGAAGTAAAAATCTTGTTGGCATTAAATAAACCATTGAGGTTGATATGCCGTAAAACAACAAAACAAACCAAACCGATTAAAAAAATATTATTATTTAAAAAAAATGGTTTTGACTTGCATCTTCCTCATAATCACAAGCTGTGTTTTAACCAATGACCGAGCGATGATGTTTTTTTTTGTTTCCACTTCATTAAACAAAAAAACCCAAAAAAACCCAAAAAACAAATGATCAAATCTCTTCGCAAAATGTGGGCTGTGTTCGTTAGAAGTTTTATTTTATTTTTAATCATTTCATCCCAAGCCAGACAGTAATGTCGATAGTACGCAGTATGTAAACTACTCTAGAGTAATTTGCAGCACATTATTTATCATCTCTCAGTTGCGTCTCTGTCTTTGAGCAGAGTGCGCTCAGGGGCAGCTCCCTCAAAGGACAGAGTCGCAACTAA